ACTCAGCTGTCTCCAAGAATGAGATTAGGGACATTTACATTATTTGATCATTTTTCCCAGTGTGTTTGGTTGGGGTTTGTTGGGTTTTTTGCAAGTCTAGGAAATTATACACAAAATTGACATTTAAAGAAGCCAAGGTCATAAAATCAAGAACTCAAGAGTTAGGAAACCACATTAGTAGAGCTGCTTGCACCTTATTCTTTAACCTACTTTATAGGTGAACATTTCAGTTACCAGCTCACAGTACAATTTTTGATAGGGCCCAATGCCTCAACCACCCCAATGACGATTATGTTTGGTATAAGAACAAGCCAGGGCACTCTAATGTAGAAAAAAATGATTTCTACAGGAAATAAACTTTGTCAGAGTTGAACAAAACAGCAAGAAAAGCAAAACAGTCCTGGCTGAAGCAGCTGAATGCTGCACTGGGGAAGTGCATTCAGCTCTGGTGCTGCCTTGGACTTCCCAGGTGCTGCCGAGTAAATCATCAAACCCAAAGTAAATCATCAAACCCAAACTTTTCATCAGCAGTTACTGATTTATTGCATCTCTCCATACCCAACATTGGAGGTTGGAAATGTAAGACACTGAGGCATTTAAAATTTGGAGTTTCCACTGAAACTCCAAGTTGCAGTGGTTGAACCTTAAATGTGGATAACTTGCTGTCATTTTGAGTCATCTCACAGTCCCAGACCAACCCAAGACAGGTAACTGTGCTGGACCTGAACCTCCCTGAGTCTCACTTCACCTGTGAACCAGGACAACACTATTCTCTCTCTTTGCAGGGGAACTGTAAAAAACATCATGCAGACTCACAACTGTATGCATATATAGGCAGGTGGAGGTCAGGGGAGGACTTGGGTATTACAGCAGTAAGCACTATATGAAAGTCTAGCAGTAATTTTTAATTCCATCTTCAAGCACGGTTTGAATACAGCTCAACAAACGAAGCACTGAAGAATGAGGGTAAGATAAAATATTGACTAGCTGCTCCATCATTGTCTCGTCTGTGCCCTAGATAGCACAAGAGTATTTTGGAAAAAGCAGAATGGAAACACCCAATCAAAACCTAGAGTTTTAAGGATTTGAATTTTCAAACTGAATAATTTTTTGTAAGATCATTTTAATGCAGTTGTACTCTATTTAGAGAGTTAGTCATATATACACATGCACATATAGAGAGGTTAGATAGCCACAGTATTCTACAAATATACGTTTATTTGTGCATACGTAGACTTCCCTAAAACATAAAAAGCATCCGACACCTAATTCAGCCCTTGACGAGAACTGCTCTCTCTTCTCCATAGAGTACCACCAGTAATTATTTACCATTAGTTCTTAACAGGAAGAGATTCAGCTGGGATGTAGTAAACAAGAAAACCGTATAGATTGTTCAATATAGCCTGGCTGGCTCTCAACTGAGGTAAGAAGTGATTGGATCACACCTCCTGGATATTTCAATCCCCGTTTTTATCACCGGGGAAAAGCACCTTATTAACCTGTACTTGGTCAGGTCCCTTCCCTGTCCATATATGCAACGCTGTCAAGATCATACAAGTGTCCCTTCTCATTCACATTACCATGCTTTGAACCCTGAACTGCTGCAGGGTTAAATGACTAACAAGACAGAGAGCTGAAGGGTTCATTTAGGCATCTTGAACTCTGCTACCTTCCTACCTGCCATAGATTATTTTTTTGTTGCAACAGGGTAAGGGTTCCCTCTTCTCATGACAGAAACATTTGACCGTGGCAAAAAAAAGATAGTTCTGAAAGGAAATGCTGGTGATTAACAAGCAAAATCATCATGTGTGAAGAAATAAAAAAGGAAAAATCCTCTGCATGTATTATTTCATTACTTTAAAAATATAAAACCAGCCAAGGAAAAGGGTCAAGTTAAAACTGTGGTATTTTTAAAGACATGTGCCCTACCACTGATGCATTTTTCTGGCACATCTCACATCATCACCCCATTCCTGTGACTCCCACCATCAATAGGAGTTGTGTGCATCAACCCAGGGAGCCTGAACACCGGGCAGACCATATGTGAAAAGCACCATTTTTTTCATTACAGCAGAGAACTGAAGTATGCAACTAGCACATACTGTAAAGGCATTCAAAATATGACAAAAAAAATTGTTCAAATGCTTTCAATCTGCAGAAAACAAATGCTCTCTTCAATGACTGCTCTGTGGCAAACTTCTAATTCCATCCAGAAAATCCAGCATTCCCAGTCTGGGCTAACGACCATGCTACCAGACATGAGTTTATGTTTTTCATGCACATTTCATGTATTCCCACATGCTGTGTTGCTGCCAATAATTTATGACTGATCTGCACCCAGCCTGCCCTTCAGCATTTTATTTAATCTCTGCAACAGTGATTTACAATGACTCATCATTAACACAAAAATGTACATGTGTGTTAACAAGTTTGGAAAAATCTAAGGAAGAAGGCAAAATTTTTTGCAAGTTGTGGCTGAATGAGTTATGAGTCCGCTAAAGAAAGGCAAAGCTAACCAGAAATGATACGTTAACCCTTCCCTGCAGCAAACAATTTAGGCAAGAAGAGTTTCTTCTCCTACGTACTTCTTTAGAAGAAAAGAGATTAGGCAAAAGGCTGGGAGAGTGTTGTCCCATAGCCCCCAGGATTTGGAAGGGGATGAGTTGCTCATTGATCACTCCATGACTGGACATTTCCTGAGGATGCACCTGTGTGTGTGTGTGTGTGCATGCAACCTGAACACTCAGCCACGACCTCACAGCCTCCTCGTTTCTCAGCATCCATTTAAAAAGCGGGGGCTGAATTACCATATTTTGGCATCTCTGCCCACCACCTGTGATTTAAGAAAGCCCCGACTGTCTCTATAGTGTTAAATCTTTGTGGGGCTGGGGAGGGAAGGGGAATTGTCTCAATAATTTATACAATTGTAACACCACTGCAGAATTTCCAAACTAGCTCAAGCAGAGGAAGCCTGCCCTACATCCACAAGACTTCAGTTATAATGTAATTTGACCTACTTTTTTTTTTTTTCCCCTTGCACTTAAGGAACTTATAAAAACACATCTGACACAGAGCCAAAGTAAAAAGTCCTCAAATCTGAGACAAGATTGGTACTGAAAAACACCCTGGAAAGTCAATTGGGAAAAATTCCACCAGCTTTAGTTCAAAACATCCCATGTCTATCATCTTGAAGAATTTCTTTGATGGCCCATCCTGAACTGACATAGTTGCCCTTGATGAATCCTATGCTCCCAGACCACTCCAAAGCAGCACACACTCGTTTCACCCATTGCTCCATAAGACCCCCAACGAACATACACAGCTTCTCAACTGGCCAAAGCGCCTACTCTTAAACTCAAGGACAACCATATAAATTAGGGTATCGCCTGTATGAAGGTTGGAGGTCATAAAGCTGAAGCAAACACTAATTTTCTCTGGCTGAGCCAAAATACTGTGGGTTACATAGTTTAGGTTTAGTGCCTTTTATTCCTCCGCTCTAAAGAAAGTATCTTGGAATCATACTTCACATACACTAAGTATTCAGTATTTTCCTTTATTCAGTGTCTTAAAGGGCTTCAAAAAATTGATCTCCCAGGGCTGCTGTGGGGGTCACAGAAATTGATAACCCTTACAAGCTATGCTTATGTGAGCCTGCCTGTGTCTCCCAGATAGTGCACTTTGTAAATTAATCCTCCAAAGGCAAATATATTGTAAGTAGCTTGTTATCTCTAAAGTACTAAATTGAAGAATACATGGGATTATATTGACAGAAATTACATTTTCTGTAATGGGGTTTAATATATCTGAAATCTCTCCCATAGGCTCCTACTCTCTCTAAGAGAGAAGGGTTTGTTAATGTAGGTGCAATGGACATCAAGACCAAATTTATTCACTAAAATGGATTAGGACATGTAATCAGAGCTTCAGTAATATTAATCTCTGACACTTATTGAACGGAAAAAAATACTTTTGTCTGCAAACTGGCATTCCTCCCTCCCTTTTCCCCAGCAGGCTCGCTGTTTGCCTTGGCCATTTTCTGGGTATTACTTCAAAGAGGATAAGGTTTCCCATCATAAACACTAATCTAAAAATATTAGGACAATTAATTAGATACACTTAGTTTTACAAGGTATTAGATTGCAATACACTTCAAATACAACACTTGCTCTGCAATAGTGGCAGCAACCTCCATTTCGATGCAGTAACAAAGGGTAATAAATCAATCTTTTTTTTTAAGGGTTTGTTGTTGTGTTTTTATACTTAAATCAAAAGTAATTTTCAAAATCACAAGTAATTTTCACTGCCTCCTGTACAGTCAGCAACCCAAAATCCATTTCAGACATAGCATGGGTCCCGATGGATCCTAATTTCCCTCAAACAAATTGCTACTACAACAGATCAGGGGTTCCAGCAACCCTTAGCTGGAATAAATAAAATTGCTCCACACCATACTTTAGCAGCAAAGAGACAGGTTGTCCTCAAAGTTTAGTCAAGCTTTCAAAAACTGGACTTCTAAAACAAACCGGTAAAGAGATAGAAGGATGTCAGTCAAAAGAAAAACCCCACTAACAACATTTTTTAAAGTATGACACCATCCCAAAATAACAATACGCTCTGCAGAAATGGGGCCAATTGCCCCTTTTTTTCACCCAACATCTCAACCTCTTCCAAGACCAAAGTTCTCAAAATGCTTGTGGCTTCCTACTGAAGCAGACACATCCTCAGCCAGAAGGAGGACTGATATCCAAATGTGAATACAATGAAATCTGCCCAATCAATGGGAAAAAAATACGGCTTGTTTTCTGCAGTAGCAAATCTCCTAGTTCCCATCACTGAAACCACTCACGCAGCTATATCCTTTTTGCATCAATAAACTGCTGGGGGGGTGGTGGGGGTGGTGGTGGGGGGAGCAGACAAGGGCAAGGTGTGTCCTCAAAACTGCAAAGCATTAGCCGGAGGGTGCCAGCGGCCGTATAAAAACACTAAGAAAAATTACTTACCAATTGTTCACTTGAAGTATAGTGAGCCCTGTGTCTTGTGCCAACTGCTTTTTCTGTTCTTCTGAAGGGTAAGGGTGCTATAAGACACCAAAATAAATATATACATTTAAAACAATGCACTTTTTTTGCCTACTTTTTATTTTAAATTAGAAAAAAAACAACAGAAGCGTGACATCTATTATTGAAAGGTGAAAATGCTGAGGTGTGTCACTCTTTTATAATTATTAATGGGCTACTACATCACTTAATTAATGGCAGTAAAAGACAAGCCAATTATAAAGATTAGTGAAGTGGAGAAATAACTGCTTAGGATACTGGCAGTACCTTGATACTCAAGAAGGATATTTGTTGCATTAGCTGACAGTTTTTGCACTTTTCTCGAATGACTGATTAGTCAAATCACCTTTTTTTTTTTTTTATTTCACAGAACAATAAAGAATGTGATAAAGTTCTTCTCTGTAAAGCTAAAACACGCTGATGTTTTCTGAGATAGTGAAGACAAATCTTGCCAGTGCCCCAAAATAATTTGCAAATAAGATCAGCATCCTGAACATAAACAAACGCCTAGGTTTTGAACACAGGCCAATGCAAGGTCAACGATCAGCACATTTTTGCCTGACATTAACATAGCTGTGCTGCACTAATCCTAAGAGACAGAAAATAAATACTGGTTTATTTGAAGATAATGTTAAAATTCAATCATAAGTTAAGTTTCTTGTGAGAACTTGATTGCTTTCTCAGAATTCACTTCTGCATGAATACAGATTGCTTAATAAATCAACAGCAAAAACCACATTCAATTTTGAAATTTAGAAATATCATTTATGTCCTTTCCCTCCATGTAAAAAAAATGTCACTGTCCCAAAAGAAAACGGCCAAATATTGAAAATGTAACAATTCCCAGAAAAAAAAACAAAAACCTGTACTGAGGATCTGGATCAGCTCCTAACCCAGACACCCAAGTCTCAGTACATATCGGATTGAGACCTGGTCTGCTGCAAAGTACTTAATAAAATTTCAATAAAGGTGATTTGATATAACTGGTTAGACCTATCCCAACATCCCATTTAGCAGTTGGTTGTCACAAAGTATTTGCTGTTATACACGCATCGCTTTCTTTACCTCCCCAAACATCCCCATATTCTTTGGATGTATTCTTTGGCATATTACATGAGATGTAAACTGAAACCTTGTAAAGCGTAAGAATTTAAAACCTCATAAAATTCCACAATATTATTGCTATCGTAACTATTTAGAAGATTTTATATATATTCCTGTAAACAGCATAATCTGACACCTAATGGCTGTGTTACATGCCTGCAGCACCTCACTTTACCAAACAGGAATTTTCGTTGTAACTCTGGCAACTTCCCTTTGCCCAGTGTGCCCATTTCAAAGCCTGCTGCCATGGACATTGGCATTTTTTTCATGCCAAAATTGTGGGGAATTTCCCATTCTTTCAAAAATACTGTTCTCCTGACAGCGAGCCCACAGGTAACCTGCACACCTATAAACTACCCCCTGTATTTTCTGCATATACGTGAAACAGCTCCAGAACAGCGAAGTGGAGGACACAGGTAAGGGGATTTTGCTTCTTTTTTATGGGTAATTTGCCTTTTACCCATGCAAAGATATGGCAATTTTATCATTCGTCTTATATACACGTTCATCCACAACAAACAGTTCTACTTGACTTATGTCCATCTATCTGAACATAACATTTTTCTTCTCTTAAAAAAAAAAATCCTTACAGAGATGATTTGTAACATTTTCATCTTTACAGCTTACTTCCCATTTCATTACTCTGCTATCAAGCGAGGACAAAATTATTCTTTTTTTTCTTATTTCGCTTTGCCACCTTACATGTGATCTAATTTTAAGTAATTGAACAAACTGTGTCTAATTTCATGCAGCAAGCAATAATTACTAGACAGCCTCTAGCTATTGGAATTGAGAACTCTGTCTCCATTAAGCAATTTTCAATTGTTCTGGACTTTTTTCCAAATAGACAAGACTGGATAAAATTAGCCATCAGAATAATACAGTCACTGTAAAAATAATTGCTTTAAAAGTCCCAAACCCCAAATTCCTCAAATTGTGGTATGTTTAAGGTCATCTGATTTTTTTTTTTAATATATCCTACCACAGCATAAACTTTTAATTTTGATAAATCTAGCATTGCTATAATCACATGACAGACTGGGACTTCATGTAGCTAATCCCTCTCAGCTAAAGGTTCATAATGCAGCAGGTTTTTTATCTATGATTTGGTGTGGTTTAAAATAACCTTAAATGCTGGGCATCCTTATTGTATAAGCTTTCTGTGGCTCGTATGAGTTGTTCCTTTGTAGGCTAAAAAAAAAAAAAAATAAAAATGACTTGACAAAGAATCAGCATGCCACAGGCTAGGTTGCTATAAAAACATTCAAAGCCTTGTTGCATTCCCACCCACAGGGCTAGGAAGGCCTGTGCTACAGGCAAAGGCAGACATCACATTGCAACAGAGAGAAAGGGGGAAACCCTGAGAACTGCCATTTTATGAAGAAATGGGAAATTCAGTCGAAGCTGTTGCTGTTGGTCTTTATTTCACCCGTGTAATAATGACAGGTGTCTTCCAAAAGCTTTCTATTGATTGTCTAAAGGGATAAAGACACATGCAGAGAGATATGTGTATATATATTTACATATATATGTATATTAGTGTGTATATGTATAAAATTTAAATAAATAAATAAATAAATAAATAATATGTATCTCTTAAGTCAAATCTTTAGTCTTAGGTAGTCCTGCGAGAAACATGGAGTTGGACTTCATGATCCTTATGGGTCCTTTCCAACTTGAGATATTCTATGATTCTATGAATCATGTAAATATATACGTATATAAATATATATGGAAGAGTGTGTCTAAAAAGAAAACACTGACTCCAGTTGGCAAGTCTACCTATCACTCTGGATCACTTTGGGATATCAAAGCAAATTGTACCACTGTTCAATAAACAGTGACTTGAGACCTTTACTTTGTTGTGTACATTAGCTCCTACCATTATCTCTTAAAAGCTTAATTATTTGCAAACAATTGATCAAGATGGGAATTGGAGAAAAGCAATGCTGGACCACCAGGAGAGCTGCAATGCATTAGGAGAGCAAACAGAATTACCTTTAGGTCTTATAATCAGAATTAACGATTGGGACCGTATGCAGGGCAGCGCAAGAAGCTGTAACGCTCTTGCTGGAGTGTTTTCCATTTGATCTGCATTAACACCTCGAGTGAAAGCCATAAAACAGTGATTACAGATGGCAAGGTTGACCCTCCTTCCCAGAACCAGCCCAGCTTGTGTATACTGGAAGACTGCAGACAGGCTTTCTTGCCAAGGCCAGAGGAAAAGGGCAAATCCAAGGGGAAAAAAAAGTAGGAAGCAGGCAGGTTAAAAAAAAAAAAAAAAAAAAAAAAAAAAAAAAAAAAAAAAAAAAAAAAAAGGGCACCTGAAAGAGTAAGGCTGACAACAGATAAGGGCTCTGAATCTGGCTCTGGTATTTTCTGATCATGCCTGCTGCTGCTACAGCACTACAGAGCAGCATCCACTGAACAGTATGAGACCTAGTGCTTTTCCCTTCCCATAAATCTAGCGCTGAAATGTGGATTGTTTGGCACCATTAATGTGTTTTTGAGGCTCTGTGGTATTACTTTTAATAATGACTTAGTACAGAAAGTGATTGCTTAATAACACCATCAAAGTCTGCATGCAAATGAAAATTATCCCTAGGGGATTTGCCCAGGGTAATATGAACAGTTAAGGAACATTTGAAAAGGTAAAAATAACTATGCAAAATATGAGTCAGAGCAGGCGTTTTAGCAGTAACAAAGAAATCAAAGTGACAGAGAGAAAAATGTAACTTTCCATCATATTCTCTTGTCACTGTTTTATGAATGGTATAGAGAGAGCAGCAGTTTTAATAAAAGCCCCTTTTTAATGAAGCCCAGATCATTTTTAGCAAAACAAACAATAAGACTTTTTTTTTTTTTTTTTTTTTTTTTTTTTTTTTTTTTTTTTTTACCACCTTTGACTACAGCCCAGTGAGTAAAGTCTCTAGCAGATAGAAATGGAAAGCGTTCAAGTTTGTCTCTTAATGATACCCCTCTCCCAAACGTACTCCTTTCCTCAAATTTTCCATTCCAGGCTGCAAATGCTGGATGCCAGGACAGAGATAGACTTTATCTTATCTGTAACCTGGTATCAATAACACTCCCTCCATCCTCCCTCTCTGCCTTCCCTGCCGTAGTGGCACATGGTAATGGTGGCAGAAAAATATGAAAATAATCCTGCCCAGAGTTTACTGCTGAGATAATGGGGGGGGCAAAACCACCCCTTCTCACCCCCTGACTAGTAATTCCTCGTGCCACTGAACCGCCTCAACACCAACACTGCCAACCAGCCCTAGCACAGCACAGTAGCAGGAGCAATCTCCAAGAAAAAGGTTGCACATTACATTGTAAGGATGTTGTGGCAACCGTCCAGCATCACCCTTATCACAGTAGCACTGTTGCTTGGCTGCCCATGCCGGGAGAAACATTTCGGAAGTCCTTTTATCCCCTTCCTCCAGCCCTTTACCTCCTCCAGAGCTCAGCATAATGCACCAAGGCGAGATGACCTTGAGCTAAACTCTGGTAGGTGATAGAGAGAAACTACCTCTCCAAAATGTATGCCCTCAGGAGTGTCTATTAACTGTTTTCTAACCTCAAAATAAAAATAATAATAATAATAATTAAAAAAAAAACCACTATGATTTTCTTGTTTTGGAAGAGCAACCCAGCCCACACTTAACTCAGCAACCAGAATAAAGCCTCAGGTTCAGCCCTCCAGTGACAAATCGCACCTTGTTTTTTTATGCCAAATTCTAAATCCTTGCTTTACCCAAAGTTGTCGAGGATTAGCTAAGGCAGCAGCACAGCCGTTTGGGTCTCTCTCCTTCCCCTACCTCCTCCTGGTTTGCATTTGAACTGTTTACATTAGTGATCAAGTTGATCTACGAGAATTATTTTTTTTTTTTTAAATATCCATAATGCTTTCCTATTG